CAACTCTCCTAGGCAGGACACCACATATGATAGGGATCCCTCCCTTCACCCTAATACATTCTATAGCTTCAGTATTTACCTTTGTCTGTGCCCACATCTTGGTGCCAGTAATTATTGGAAACCCCCGTGTCCTAACCCTCGATCCATGTTACCATAGATAAGAGGTTATGGGGTATCTTGAGAAGTAAAGTAACTAAGAAATAGCTAAATTAAGAAATTATTAAAGTAAGAAATAAAGTAAAGGAGAGAAGGTGGCAGAAAGAAATTAGTGGGATAAAATAAGTCAAAATAAATAATCCCCCTCTATAAAATGGTGTGCAACAGTAATGGGATGTAATTTAATATGATATCAAGTTGGGAGAAATTAATATGGTACTGTAAGTTGTAATTCACTGACTCGTGTAATAATCATTTCTAAATAATCTAACCGAATAATCATTTATTCAGCTTAGGGTAACCTCCCGCTGTGAAAGGGTTAATTTAATTTTACAACACTTGGATTCTTCAAAAACACCCTCTCTCTCTCTCTCTCTCTCTCCGTACCCTCACCTGGCTGGTTCTAAGGTCTTGCCTGCCATAGATAACCACACCCCTCATGCAAGTTTCTTGAGAAAGGTCCGTAAATAAGTCATATCCGTCAATACTAAACTCACATTCCTCTTGGTCGATTCTCCTGTTCTTGTACAACATTTCTACAACTCCTACTATATTGGGTTGGAGTACCTTCAGTAGTGTTTTAAACTCCTCTCTCTTATCAAGGAACGTGTCAGTATTAGTGGACATGACATTCAAGCCGGAATTTGTTATCGGTAACGTCTCTGCTCTTGGTAGTAACTCCGGCCCCCCTCCATTCTCGGCAGCTGCAGCATTTGCTAAATGCACTGTATTTTGCAGGGTGGGGTTAGAAATGTCATTGTTTATACAGCGCTCCCCTCCTCCTGGATGGGAGGTAGAGCGGGTGGAGGTTGTACTGCTAGGGTGTGTCAATTTCAGGGGTCGAAGTGCAACTTTAGGAATTTTTCTGATGGCAGGTCATCAAATGATGCATTTTTGTGTGTAGATTTCAAGAATAACCTTGATTTTGAGATTGAAGAAGTCCTACCTCCATCAATTTCCATTTAAAATTTTGGGTTTTAGGCCCAAAATGCTAAATTTTCTTGTTGCTATCTATCACCATTGTACTGAAATGAGACACTGGAAATTCGTATTTGCAGTTTTATTTAGTAATGATTGACAATAGGTATCGAGGTTTTTTTGCTTCCCTCCTTGTAGTAATGATCAAAAGCAAGAACACAAGCCACACACGGAACCTCTGTATTACAACGACTAACTATACTGTTGCAAACGCGATATACAAAGGCGGCCACACAATGCAAACACTATGTACAGACACGTACATGTACACACACACACACACACACATACATATGCTCACATACTATACTCTTCACCTCTTGAACTTGGTGAGAGAGGCCAGGTCCTGCTTGCTCCTGTTCCTAGACATCACAAGTCTGCTCACCAATTGGGACTTGATCATCCCATCCCCTTTCTCGTGACTGTAGACAAGGGCACCTCTCCACAATCTGAGTATGTGAAGGTCAGTCTGGCACCTCCATAGGCCTGTGCACAAACTGCTTGACTTGAGCTGTGGTGAGGGAACAGGTGAGGGGAGGTTCAGTGACCCCAGAGGTTCAGTCCATCAGCTCTGACAGCTTGGTGGCATCTGGGTTTATGTTAGGGGTTCTCCTGGGCCTGACAGAGTTGTCACCAATCTGTGTCTCTTCATCTCCCTCCCCCCTCAACTCCAGTATCCTGTCCACTGCCTCTCTCCTTTCATCCTCCATCTCACTTACAGTATGGCCTGCAACATACCAGGCTGACCTCCTCACAGTAGGCATCACTGTGTCCAGCACCTTCTTCTTCTGACTTCTCAGCAGCTCCAGCTGATACAAAATGTGCCTGGGCCCCTCCACCCAGCTGTGGTTGACTTTGATGTATTACCAGTTAGGCAAGTACACCCCCTACTATGAATTCCACTATTAGCTTGAGATTCTTCTTGTGCTTCCCCTTCAGTCCATGCTTGGACATCCACAGTCTGCACATTCTCAGTGCAGTTGTCAGCCACCTGCTATGACAGACTGGTCCAATTTCCAGCAGGGTCAAGTTGTGGGGCTGCTCTTCAGTCCTGACGGCCTGGGCAATCCTGTAGCCATAGGACTGTAGAGACATCCCTCACAACCCCTTCACTCAGCTAGATCAGAGGAGGCCCCACTCAGATCTGTAGCAGTGTCCAGCATCTCGCCAATCTTGCCACTCCACCTGTTGTTGCCGAGTGCGGGGCCATCCAAGCTAATGATGAAGTGTCTCAGGACCAACTCCCCAGTATGGAGGTCACATACTAGCCAGACTAGCCTCCTGCCCAGCTTGACCTCCACATTCTGCCTTATTCCTCCCTCCCACAGTGCTTACATTAGTGGAGTCCCCTCCTATTGCCAAGAGGGACTGGTCAGCTCCTCTCTCCCTCAGCCAGTCCAACAAATTGTCTGCAATCACACCTGCATGCGTTCTCTCCTCTGTTGCCTCCTGAGGAACAAAATGCCACAGGTATCTCCCTCCTGGCTCACTGCATACAGAGTAATTCTCCTCCTTGATCATGCCAGAGAACAGTCTGTTACTGCTCTCTGCCTCCATCATTACATTAGTGTCATCACATCTGCCATCAAACGAGATGCAGCTGATCCCAGTCTCCCTTACCTCCCTCTCAAACTCCTGGTCCAGTTCAGTCACCACCTTCGACTGTGCCCTCCTCAACTTGTTTTGATCTATCACCAGGTGAGTGTCATCCACTGTGATGATGCCAGCATCAATCCAGGCAGCTGTAGCAATCTCTGCTGCCTCTCTCAGGCCAGTGTGGTGCCTAATGCCAGAGCAACGTTCCTGGTGTTCTCTGTGTTGTATTTCATGTTCTTATGAGCAAACGAGTGACTGTGTATTGTGTAAACTTGCACAATATGTGCACATACAATTATGCAAGATTAGAGCGATCTCTATTGCTTGACAAACATATAAATGCTGCAGAAATTATCTATTAACCTAAACACATACTACAGCGCATCAATGCAAAAACTTCAAAGCCAAATAGATGTAGCTAAATGATATCCAATTGAAATTAAAGGCATTTCTGAGCTTCTTACACACAAATCTACAGAATTATCACCTGCCGTGGGGTGTACTACTGCCCTCTCGCTCTGTGCTGGCTGACGCTCTCTCTTCCACTGCCCTCCCCCTGGATATAACCCATGTACACCCATCCTCGTTCCTCCTCGATAACTCCCTCCTTTACTTTAAACCCTGCAGGAGCTTCCTGTGCTGTTCCCTCTGCATTACCGTGCTATCTGGATTGATGAATACATTCCGAAATGCCTCGCTCCTTGTTATATTTTTTGGCCTGCCGAATAACTTCCTATTTCTTCTCCTCACTCACTAGTGTGATCCTGGGGGGTCGAGGCTTGTCCTCCTGCTTTTGTCCCAGCCTCCTCACATCCTGAGGGGGGGGGATGAGATATTCAGAACCTCTGTACAAATATTCTCAAACTGCAACTTATCATGTGTTTTCTACTCTCAGGTTCCTCCAACTGGCTCTCAGGGACCCCATAAACTATTACATTGTTCCTGCTCTCGAAACGTTTCTGTTGTTCCTCCTCTCCCCTAACAGTAGGTCTCCTAGTTGCCATCTCTTCGACACACTTCTTCAGAGTCCCTAACTGTTGTAGAATTTGTTCGGATCCAGCATTACTCTCCGCCACCTTCCGTTGTTTATTGGTTTCTATAGTTTCCGAGTGTAGTATAAAAGTAGATGGAAAGTGGTTCTAAGGTTCCACAGCTTGACAGGTCAAGAAGTGTGTTAAGAATGAAGCTGAAATCCATGACTGTTTATAAGTTGTCCTTTAGTAGTTTGGAGTTGAATTAGAGACTATAGGCTTGATATTATTACTTGGTTGAGAGGAACTGTAAACAATTTTGAAACTGCAATTAAGGAACATTTTCCATTAGTGAAATTTTGTTTGTATTCAAGATGTTAAAAGATTATTTTAAAAATTAAGGGGTTGATGTAGCCAGAAGTAACAATAACACTGTCAATGGTGACATTCTCACCACAGTAATCTGTCTACAGTAATACAAAACACTTTTCCAAACTGATAATTCTCTAGGCAACTCTCACTCTGATAAAACCAATCTATTTTGCACCTTATTCTCCTCTAACTCCATCTTAGACAATTGTGACTCTACCCCTCCTACTGAACTTATGCACTTTCCTATAATCTCCCATCATAGGGTCGCTGGTGTGTTATCCAATCTGGATGTGAGTAAGGTGCATGGACCAGACAGAATACCCCCTCGTGTTCTGAGGGAATGTGCTGAAGTTCTGGCCCCTGTGCTTGCTCTCCACTTTAGTACTTGCCTCAAAACCCAAACTTTTCCTTCTTCTTGGCAGCATGCCTTGGTTCAGCCCATCCCAAAGAAGGGTGGCCATTCTAATCCCTCTAACTATTTTCCCATTGCCCTAACTTCATCCCTCTAAGATTTTTGAAACTACAGAATTTTAAAATCTCATTTTCTCCGTCACCTTGAATGCCTTTCTCTTTTGTCAAATCACCAGTATTGCTTTTGCCGGACAAGACCTACGAGTGATCTGCTCTCCTATTGCACCCATCTTTGGTCATCCTCTCTTAGGGATTATGGGGAAACTTTTGTCGTGGCCCTCAACATCTCCAAAGCATTTGACAGGGTATGGCACAAGTCTTTGCCTTCTAAACTTCCCCATATATAAATAAAATTATTAATTCCCTAATGCCCACTCCACCCAGAGGTGCTCAAGACGAGGGAAGAAAGCCAATTATGTGAGGGAACAAATGTGGCTCGTTTTTCTCTATAATTCTTCTGAGTTCTTCCAGTGAAAGCAATTGATGTGGTTGAAGATGATAAAACAGACACAAACATATAATCATAAGCTTTTATTTGTGCAACATGATACACCTGGGCTAAAGGCTGCTGCCTGATAATCCTGCCTGCAGACTCGCCATAGGGTACAATAGTATTAACCTTACACTTACGTTATTCCTAAAATAACATACAAAGGATTATTAATCAACAATAAAAATATGCAGCTGATAAAGCATAAATCATACACTTTTATAAGTTTTAAGTACTAAATAAAAACATATTGCATAATCTACATATGTACATGAAGACTAAAAAGGCCCCTTTCTCCTGTCACATAAATTACTCTGCCTGCGGACAACATCCACAACTAGAAAGCACACATATGCCATTTTCTGCATACATTAATTACAGTATAATAGGAAGCACTGTAACTGTAAACTGTTTACAGTATATCCTTCATAGAAGTGAAGAACTGGATGAGGGAGGGATCTGTTCATGTGTCAAAAAAGATTACTGTATTGAGGATATTGATTATCATGTGAACGTTCTCCACTACCCTGCTAACCGTGATTATTATATAATATTTAAGCAGTTTACTTAAAGAATTATAATCAATACTATATCACACTATAATCACAAGAATGGCCACAGCAGCCAGACAAAACTCTACAAACAATTTATATGTATACAAAAAATTTAATTCCTGGCAGCAATTATATAAAATGACACTACGACCAAATCAACAGACAAGGGAAACAGCTAACTGCGGCCTTTCTGATATGGTTAATATGGGAATCAAGAAGCTATGTAGAGCTGCAAGATAGTAACCCTTATGGCTGCCAAGGATGAGCTGGCCTGCTGTTGGCATATGGCATAACTTGCTCTCACAAGCACCAAATGCTTCCTGGAAAAAAAAATATTGCCATAGACAAATATATAGACAAACAGTACTTATGTGCATTTATAAATACTTGTAATTTGAAATACCCTGAATACTGTTAACATTTTTTGGTAATGAATTACAGTATTTCCAAATACATACCAGTAGTTAAAATGTCTGTATAGATACCACTTACAGTTTTAATGTACTAACTATAATATCAAAATAAATTATGTTTTAAATGCATGTTTCTCCAAAAACATGAAAGACAAATACAGTCAATTAACTAACAAAAATATGATTAACATAATAAAGACAAGTAATATCTCTGTTAGCCGGAATCCCTCAAAGCTGGAACTCTTCGATAGCCGGAATTGAAATTTTCTTGGAAAATCATTCGCAAAGCCGGAATTTCTGGAAAATTCCAGCTTTGGGAACAATTTTCCAAGGGGCACATTTTCTTGAAAATTCTCAGAAAATTTTCCCAGCACCCAGAAATTCTGGGAATGTGAATTTTAATTCTGGGTTTGAGAGATGAAAATCAGGCGCATTTTCCGGAAATTCCAAGAAAATTTTTCCGGCACCCAGAAAATTCCGGGGAAGGGGATATTTTCCAGGGTCAAGAGATAATATAATGCGCAATTTCTGGAACTTTCAAGAATACTTTAACCTTACCCGGAAAATTCCTTGGAAGAGGGATTTTTTTTTTCCCGCTTTGAGAGATAAAATAATGCATCATTCTGTAACTTCCGAGAACATTTTTCATTTCCCAGAAAATTCCGGGATGAGGGATTTTTTTTTTCCCGGCTTTGAGAGATTTGTCTCGTTACTCGGAAATCTCTCATTCCCGGAAGTGCTCTGCACCGATTGTTCCGGTTAACGGAGATATCAATTTCAAGATGATCGCTCGGGAACCTAGAGACACGTCACTTATTAAAAGGTGATCACAAACAAATAAAGGCTACATCTGTGGGAAGATTCATACCAAAGTCTAATTCCTTTTTATATTTTGTCAAGTTCTTGATTCTAACTGAGACCAAGTTTAGGGAAAAGAGTTTAGTCCTGCTAACTTTCTTACCAGGAATGCGGGCTCAGGTGTCTGTGGTCTGCTGAATGCGATTTTCCCATTGGGCAATCAAGGCACTGCGTCGCCTCACCCCCTTATCCATTACCTGCCAAAAGTATAAATAATTAGAAATTTTATAATATTCTATTCCTTACACATATTCCTGAAGGTCTTGAAATAAATTACAAGAAGTTTATACAAACAAATCAGTTAAAATAATGAGTTAATTTTGAGCCTTTACTTATCCTGAGGCTTTAGTTAATGAAAATGCTAGAGAATGGCTTAAGTACCTTCTAATTTGTTACTGAACTTCAACTACGCAACAGACAAGTATCACATTTAGTTCTAGTAACTATTATCAGTGGCTTCATAAATTCCAAGTAGGGATGACCATTGGCTACACCACCTAAAAAGCATTACAGTATAATTTCCGTACTGCACTATACTTAAAAAAAAATACTTTGAGATACACAAAAGTTTCATACTGGTAATTTTCTGCACACTAAACATAATGTGCTTTTTATTCATCAAATATATACTGACCTAATATGCACAATACCAGTACAGAATGTATGCTAATGTTCCTACGATAAATATTCAAGACAATCACTACAAAAAAGGGTAAATACACATTATCTTAACCAATAAGTATAATTAGGGTGGCATAATCATCATTAATACTAAGGTAAAGCCCCTTATAATGTTACCTTAAACCCAAACGATTCTCTCCAATGATGACTGCTTGACAGAGAAAGAGAAAAGGTAATCAAGAACAACCCTTGCAATCATCAACTTTCATTGCAATACCTACAGTAGGATTAACTTAATGTTAATTTTAAATTTAATGCGAATCCCAATCTAACAACATGATCTAATCTTTCAAAACTGACATATTTACTTGTCAGATTGAATAAAAATATGTATTCATCCCCAGCATATCTATGTGCTGTACAGTAGTACATGTATTTGGCGATTATTCTGCGAGTGTCCCCATTTTGACATTCACATGAAAAGGGGTAAACCATTTGACAAAAATTGTCTTTACTTTATCCTCTTCGCCACAGGTTGGTCGTGTCTCTATTACACACTGTTAGCTAGTACTGGGTACGCATCTATACCTGTGTCAGTGTTAGTCAAATCTTGTCTTGAATGAGTTCATATTCAGTGCCATATAAAAAACTGGCAGATTGTTTCAAGATTCACAACCCTTATGCCAAAAAAGTTTATCCTGATATCATATAATGTTCCTTATTACTTTACACACCAGCCTGTAATTGTTCAGGCAGTGAGGATCTCCCTTTTTGAATAGAAGACTCGCATATGCTGTTGTCCATTCATTAGAGATCTTTTGTTCATCTATGCTTCTGCAGAGTAGGGTTTAAGGGGCTATGCACACCTCTCTTAACACTCTGGGGTAAAAACTTAAGACCTTTGAGTTTAGCTTTGAAACTTTCGTTCCAAAAATGTCCAAAGGAGGGCTTGCACTATGGCACCTCAGTTACCCAGAGAGATTAGAACACCTGCAGCTGCCTAGCTTATACTACAGATGGGCAAGGAGTTACCTAATTGAAGTTTATAAACATTTCAGAGGGCACTACTCAGTCGAGTGTCCATACCTGGAGCTGGCAGACACCCGCCCCACTAGAGGTCACAGTTCAAGGTTGAAGAAGCCACAAGTCCAGAAAACTGTGAAGGCAATTTTTTTGGAGTGAGAATTGTGAACTCTTGGAACATTCTGCCAGAGTGTTGTGACGGCACCGAGTGTGAGCTCTTTCAAGACCAGACTTGACCGACACTGGAGCAGGTTCAGACATATTCAAGAACTAGTACACGTCCAGAACTTGCCAACAATGCGTAACAGACCGCCCAAGCGGTTAATGAGCTGATCAATGACGAAGAGGAAAAAAGTAAAATAAAGTACTACACTCCTCTCAGAACCTGATGTGCATTAGCACTGTGTCAAACTGCTTTTCCTGTACTGAGGAAAAATTCATTAACACCTTTGCCTTTAATTTCAATTTTGTGTAATGGTAGCAAGCCTTAAGGTTTGACTTGGCCTTGATTACAATTCACCTTTGAAATGCCTTTACTGCCTTACTACATTCTGAGTTGGCTTGGTTTCTAACCTAGCATACATTCATCTGTCCTGCACACCATTGGTAAGGACCCATTTCTTTAAACCTGAGATTACTTCATAATTTTTTCAATTGCCACATGGTCTCCTAGTTGTCCTGTTACTATTTTACCTATGATTCTCCGGGTAGCATCCACATTTTTACTTCACAACAAGTCAATCCAGTCCTTACTCTTTATTTTCTCTCTCATCCTGTTGCAATATACGAGCCTTAGCCTGAGCTCATCATATACTAAGTTAAATCTGAAGGACCATAGTACATTACTTCCAGTGCCAACAGAGGCAAAATGTTTTCTTTTTACATTCCAGCATTCAGTACCATCAATTTCATATTTGAGACATCCTATGGACAGTACACCTGGTTAGAATCCATAATGCTTTCTAAATGATAAATGAGTAATGTAAACAGTGTGAGAGTACCATCAGGTGATCAATTTTGCAAGGTCAACTGATGAGATTTGAAGGGAATTTGGTATCAGAAAATTCTTTGGAAAATTGGTTATTTCCAAAAATTTATTTTCAGATTCCTGATACTCAGAGTGTAGAAGACAATAAGCTGTGACACAGGCAAGATCCTAGAGCCCATACATCCCTAGTCCTAGCCAAGAATGCATAACAGATAACTGACCGACCACCCAACTAGATAGTGAGCTGACCAGGGTTGAAGAGGATAAGTAAATGAGAGCTGAATTTGGGGGTAGTAGTCAAATTGGGGGATTACACCTCTTGATTTAAATGTAATGTAGGATATGTAGTATTACGTATATTTGAAATGAACTTCCCTTTCATGTTGCCAAAACTTATGATAATGGTACCCACTCAAAAGGTGACAATACTGTACTATATGTATTTGTCAACCATTCAATTTGAGAACACTGCTAAACACATATCCTCACAGCTTTACAATATTCTACTACACTGAAATGATACTGACAACACATATACCATAGTGTGTATTACAATTCACCTCGATACACTACAACAATATTAGCTCCTACCACTTACCTGTGATTTGTCTGGTTCATCATCAAGGAGGTTAGGGTTGGAGAGGGCAGTGCGGAGGCCATTCACCTCTTGGAAACTGTAGTCATTTTCTTCCTCCACCTGCTCATCTTCCTCAATACCTATATCCATCAGATTTGGTTGTGATTGAGCCAACTGGCAGGCACGTAATTGTCTGGAGAAGGAAATTATGATGAGTGATGGCTGAACCTCCTTGAGCCAATGGTTACAAATACATCATATTAATTAGTAGATAAATTACAACCCCTAAAAATTAAATAACGTAGGGCCAATGTTCTAAATATCATTCCAATCGGAGCACAATAGTATACTATAATTCATATCCCAAAAAAGAAGGGTAAGAAAAACAGGACTATACTGTGATGGAAAGAACATGTTGAGGGTCTGATGAATGAGACTGATGATTCTTGATAATGAAACTGTAGGGTAAAGAGAGGGACACCCACATATATTCCCAGATACAGTATTTAAAATATCTCATTTCTATCAATCTATCTCTATTCAAACTAACATTCATTTCTCCTTTCTGTATACCTGTAGAGTACAGTACTGTACTGTATATATTTATTGTTTTACTTCTGTATACATACAATTTCAACATTCACTGCAAGCTCTTCTCACTCCTCCACTAAACAGTCTCATCAGTGGACAGCAAATGACTTTTCATTTTCTACCCTTTATTCACCTCTCATATTAATCCATCTAATAAAATACTGAACAACCGTACTTTCATTGGATCACTTTCTCCTCCAAGTAAACTCTACCATATGAATAAAGCTTTTTATGAAAACTCTGGACAATATTGTAATCACAAATTTTCCATTTATCCCTTACCTTTTCAGTACTTCTCAACTGTGATGCTTTTATACATGGTGGGTCAATTAAATTATTGCTCATTAAGTGATTAAATGAACAACTGTTAAATTTTAAAATAAGGAATAATTTAATTTACATAAAATTTCCTAAAATTAATTGCTTAATTTCAATTAATATTTATTTAACTTTCTCCTTTGATAAATAGACAAGTAAGGTTAATGGGCACAAGCATACAGGCCCATGGAGGCAAATTTTTCTACAGATTTGAGCAAAACATGAATGCAATACTATGTTCAAGAAGGCTGACCGTCACTCCATGAACAATTATAGGCCAATGAGCCTGACTAGCATAGTGTGTAAAGTACTTGAGAGCATTATAAGAGATGCCACAATGGAACATTTACTATGAAACAACCTTGAAAAGGACTGCCAACAAGGTTTTATGGGACGCTCCTGCTTAACACACTTACTTAAGGTACTGGATGTTTGGACCCAAATTCTGGAACAGGGTGGCAATATCAACAACATATACCTAGATTTTGCCAAGGCTTTCGACAGCATACACCATGAAAGGCTGAGAATTAAACTGTAAGGGTACGGGATTCAGGGAAGTGTCCTAGTGTGGATCGGAGATTTTCAGCATGATTGCAAGCAGTGTGTGGTGATTAATGGTATGAAATTGTGACAAGCAGGGTATCACAGGGCAGCATATTGGGCCCATTGTTGTTTGTTTGTTTCATAAATGACATACTGGAAGCTATATACTTCTCCATACAAATGTTTACGGGCGATGCCAAGTTATTCAGGGAAATCTGAGAACCAAACAGACTGTGAAGAGCTGCAGAAAGATCTCTGTGAGCTTCAAGAGTGATCGAAGAAATGGCTGTAAAGATTCAATGTCACAAAGTGTAAAAGGATGCACCTGGGTCATACCAAGGGTAAGGAGGCGTAACATATGTCCCAACGGGACGAAGAAACTGCATTAATAGAAACCGAATGCGAAAAGGACCTGGATGTGTACTGTATGTTGACAATGAACTAAAGTTCTCAGGCCACTGTGAGAAGGTGTATCAAGCAATTAACTAATATGTCTTATAAGAAGGTCATTCAGATATTTAGACAGTCTGTCCCTTGCAGTGATCTTCAAGAGTGAGGTGCTTCCCTGCCTGGAGTACTGTCACCCCGTCTGGTCCCCGATATATGCTAGGTACTGTCAGCTGATTGAAAATGTTCAAAGGAGGACCACCAGACTGGTGCCTGCACTTCACACCTCAGTTATCCAGAGAGATTAGAGTGTCTGCATTTGCCTAGCTTATACTATAGATGGGCAAGGGGTAACCTAATTGAGGTGTATAAACATTTCAGAGGGCACTACTCAGTCAAGTGTCCATACCTGGAGCTGGCAGATGCCCACCCCACAACGGGTCACAGCTCAAGGTTGAAAAAGCCACAAGTCCAGAAAACTGTGAGAGCAAACTTTTCGGAGTGAGAATTGTGAACTTTTGGATCAACCTGCCAGAGTGTGTTGTGATGGCACAGAGAGTGAGCACTTTCAAAACCAGACTTGACCAACACTGAAGCAGGTTCAGATACATTCAGGAGCCAGTCCAAGCCCTGTACTTGCCAACAGTGCATATCAGAGATGTCATTGATTGCCCAAGCAGCTAATGAGCCGGTCAGTGGCGGAGAGGATAAAAGTAAAAGTTAACCAGAAAGTTAATTGATTAACTTAAATACGGTATTCCTCATTTGCTTTAGCGATAAACCTTTTTTAACACCCTTTCTCGTTTAACGTTGGGTCAACATTCGGTTTAGCGATATCTCACCTCACTGGGAAGGGGGAAAACTGAGGATTTTGTGTTCCAATTGCGTACATCTATTATCAATTGTTTACGCCGCGTACCACCTACCCACCCACTCCAAGTATGAAGTGTTTACCGCCTATCATTTCATCATTGTCTTCCGTGCCTTGCTGTTATCACTGTGCATCGCTGTTATTGTTGAAACTTTTACGGGTTACTGAATACCCTGTCCTGTACAGTCTTCGCATACTGTATTGTGTAAAATGAGTGAACTTTGAAATAAGTCAGATAAATGTGCTGCTGTTTCACCTCTCTCATCAGGCAAGGCCAACTGTAGTTTATTGTTATTATTATTATTATAGCAAATTATCATTAAATACAGTGCAGGGGAATAAAGGTGAAAAAATTCCCCAAACACCAATTCTCCATGTTAAACCTCATGTAGTGATAATTTTATTTACCGGCAATAGTTAATCTGACCAATATCATGAGCATGTTGAGGCTATTTTGAAACCATGTGGACTTGATATTAGGAGATATTCTGTGGTCAATAGTAATTACTTTTTACTCTAGAAAAAAGACAGTACAATAAGTACTGCATTAAAGAAAAAGTATTGAAATTTCCTAATGAAAGTGGGGATGCAGACCCCCCCTAATACCTGTACACAATAAAATACATTCACATTACAGAATCAAGTCATCATGAACATGCAGAAACAAGATTGTCTCACCCAAATTGCTTTATATCAACATGTGTACTTTTGTCAAAATTAAGTTACATTATTGTTATATCATATTTACCTGAGTTCCTCTTCTCGCATCTGCATCTCCTTCAGCTCAGACTGTATCTTCTCTTCAGCTGTACAATAAGAACGACGATATTGCTGCTGTACATTATTTTGCTGTTTTTGAGTCTGTAATGTTTGCTCCTGACTGACACTGGTGTCCACTTGCTGTGGTTTCATTCTGGACAGAGTTTCTCGCTGTACAACTGCTGCCTAAAAGATTTAAAAACAACGTTAGACATGATAATATGGTAAATTAAGTTTGGCTGATTAATAGTGAGTCTCAGTCCCACAAATTTAAATTATATAACACAATGTAATTCACACTGAAAAATATATAGTAAATATACAGTACATACAGTATTCATTAAGTAACTAAAATTTCAATTGTAAATAAACCAACAAAGCTTCCAGAGCAGATAGTTTGACAAAAAACACAATGTATAAATCACCTTAGGTTCCACCCTCATAGGCCTGGTGGAGATACCCCGGGAGGTGGTGTGTGTAAGAGTAGGTGGAGGGGATGCAAACGCTGAGCCTGTCATCTTGCCCCGAGAAGCTATAAACTTCTGCATGAGGCCCTTGGGAGCCCTTGGGTTAGTCAAGGATGTAGGACTAGCCAGGTTGTTTGTGGATAGACTCCTGGAGAGGCCTCGAGATAAGGCTGGGGAAGGTGTAAAGTTGGGCACTGGGGAGGATGGACTGAGGGGTGAAGGACTACGCTTCGGAGTGGATGATGGTGTACTGAAGTTACTTGGTCGGGAGGGAGTAGGTCTTGTCCGTGGGCTCTCATTTTGGTTCAGATCGGTAAAATCTGACATGCGGGTCACCTTCAGGAGAGGAGGGAGGCACTGGGTAAGGTATGATACTCTTAAAATTAATGACATCTCTCAAGAACATCACCTCAGGTAAACAGGATGGAGAGCAATCAACAAGATATACAACTGTTTAATTATTTTCATACAATCAACTTGTTCCATGTACAGTATAAACATACAGGTTTTCCAATCTAATTATATGAACTTCTAGTTTTACTACATTAGTTCCCTAATATCTAATTCTACTACTTATAGTAAATACTAATTCAAAAGGAGGTACTGTACCGTACTGTACTGTACTGTACTGACAACTAAAAGGACCACTTCAAGACAACTGCTACAGCCTCTTGTTGCTAAAGAGACTCCCTGACATTACCGTTATATTGACTCCTGATGTAAGTTTGTCTTTTTTCATAAATTTTTTCCTTTTAGCTTTTACAGGCTTCTCAAAAAGGATATACTTTTCACCAAATCCTCGTGTCAGCTTTAAAAATAAACCAGACAAAATGGCATAACATGAGACAGGGCCACAACCATTTCATACATTATACAGTACAGTATATTGTATGTGCTCTGTGTTTGGTTTTTAGTAATCACTTAAATAATTACAGTACAGTACTCCCTCTTTATCGACGGATTTTTTATCGACGGTTTCGATTATCGACGGATTATTTAGCCGGATTTTTATTTTGGCACCAAACAGCTTCTCCCAGTCCTCTCCTTGAACAGGGCTAGAGGGTACGTGTTTTTCGAATCGTTTTCAGTTAAAAAATTATTACATCACACGTATATTTTACCTAAACTGCGCCTGAATGAATATATTCTCGGAAATAAATAGTAGTTTTGCTGAAACGTGATGTATTTCAATGTAAAATAGGATAAAATACATGACGGAAACAAAAGACTTTACCTAAGCTTCCGATGTTCTTGAGATGTTACTCGTTTTTTTAATAGTTTTCGGTTAAAATTCTGTTATATTACAATGATATTCTATTCATACTGTGCTTGATATAATACATTCACGGAAATGTAATATTTTTGCTGAAATGACGTACGTATTAAAGTGGAAAGTGGGATCAAATCGTGACGAAAACAATGACTTCGCTTTCTTTCGTTCAAAAGATGTTACCGTAATCACTTTTCGAATGGTTTAGTTAAAAAACTGTTGTATTACAATAATATTCCCTCCTAATTGACTTGAATAAATACTTGAATGGAAATATACAATATTTTTGTTGAAACTACCCGCGTTTCAGTGTAAAGTGTTGTAATAATAAATGGTAAACAATTTGCCTTGGGCATCCGGATTTTTGGACTTTTACTGTACTGTACACTGTTTTGTTTACTGTAAGGACCGATGTTCACTTCAATAAATGAAATCGTAAGTTTGCTAGTATTTTTGTCCACTTATTATATTATTATTTATACACTATTATTTAAGGTTATGTGTAAAGGAAACGCATTAATGCTTAAAGGTACATTTATTCAACATATGCTAATAATAGTTAGAAAAATTACGTAACCATCACGGTATCGACGGTTTCTTTATCGACGGCCGTTTACAGAACGTAACCCCCGTCGATAAAGAGGGAGTACTGTACTGTAATATTATTTATGTGCGAACAACTTGAAAAAATACTAAAATCATTTATAAAAATATACTGTAATATATACGGTTTTGATAATACAATTTCTGAAAGTTAACTAGACATATAAATATGTTGAAACATCAAGTGAAACAAGACCATTAAAGATAAATAAACAAAAAGATAAGCAATAAACACGAAATCATCAGCTGACATCAGAAACTGAAAAAAATTACTGTACTATAAATGAATCAAACTTGAGAAAAGGCAGTCTCCACCTTACCTTGGCATCAACTGTCTCCTCAGAAGTTGTCAGGATTTTACCGGCAGCTCTGAGTTCCTTTTCCTTCACGTTCGTCTCGTTGATCTCCAATTGGATCCTGTTGGTGGCAATGCGGTGCTGAACATCCCGGCCATCACTTTTAACCACTGGGGTGGCCCTCGTTGTCTGGCCAGTAGACCGACAAGATGAATTGATGGTAGAGTTTATGAGTCCCTTCTCCTTCCTGTAGGCTTCCTCCCGTTCCCTGGACAATCGAATCTCCCTCTCGATGACAGACTCCTTCTGCATCCTGTTGGTAAATAACATATCGAGGATGTGCTTAGGACATTACCTGCCGCTTACATCTAAGTACTAAATAGTGCTGTAAGTACTTTTAAATTAAGATACATTTGTACCCCGCTTAACACGGTTTCACTTAACGCGATTTCTCATATACGCGGTGCCTCGCCAGAACCGAACTTTCACTTAACGCGGTTCATCTACTCATATACGCGGGCACGATGCGCACAAGGTCGCCCAGTCATCAAAACATTACCGAGTTCTTCACCCGCCACCCACCACAGCCGGCCCAAGTCAGTGATAATTATAGTGAGGATATGGACTTATATGGACTTTGAGGGGTTTGACAAAGAGGCCCTGCAAGCCTCTGTGGTGGATAGTGATACAATTGATACAAGTGATACAGGTGAGGGCCAATAATCTGCCCTCTGCCTCGGAACCAACCCCCATCCCCGTGTGCCCAGCCATCTTTTCTACTAATGTAAGTGTTAAAAAACCTAATATTATTGATATTTCTCTTAATTATTAATTGTGTGTGCATACCATCATAAAGTTAAGATAATATTTTTACTACAACATAGTTGTGTGTCATCAAAAAGTGGAGTTTGGGGGTCGGGCCAGTCTCTATTGCAATTAATCCCATATGTTCTGTTGTTCACTTAACGCGGTTTTCACTTAACGCGGTACCCTGTGGGTTCAATTGACCGCGTTAAGCGGGGTACAACTGTACATTTGTAAGCTTCATGGCATTACAGGTACTATGCTATAAACATGCATCACTTTCAGAGTTAATAGCTTACATAAAAAATTCTTAACAGTACACATGTATAGTGGTGGAGAAAAAGAACTCAGGAGGGAGGGAGAGTAAAGGCAGCGGCACACTGGGCAATTTCCTCCAAACATGTTTGGCAAACACTGTCCCGCCAGCACAACAAAAACAACAACAAAGCGTCTAGACGAGGTTCACCATGGAACCCGTTACAACAGTTGAGGCCTTGCAGGATTATGCTATAGTTCTTCAATTGCTGAAGCAAGTGAGGCGTCTGCAAAAGCTGAAGAAAAGGCAATGAGTGCGTCATGAAGTTTCTTTGAAAGTGGTGGCGGCTATCTGGTCAAAGAAGACCCTGAATAATGATTTAAGTAATACTAAAGAAGTTTTCAAGTGACAAATAAATAGAAAATGTCACCATTTATGTGTTATATTTTAATTATAATTGTTTCATGATTTACTTCAATTTTGGTATTATATTGCATTTTCACACCACACATTCCTACCACTAATCTATTATCATATTCGAATAAGACGTCTAATTATAAGATAATTTTCATCTATTACATTACCGGCGCAAATGTATAATAACAGAGATAGCGTATCCAAAATTGTCTCTATTTTCTTCCATTAATCTTCCGCCATTATCGCCTACCTCACCTCCCACACTGCATGTCTCCTTCATAAATCATCACGCGCATGCGTTCCCATACATGTCACGTGGCCAGTCAAAAGCGTTTTTTTTTTTTTTTTGCAACCAATTAAAATGATTTTTTGTTTAATTCGCGGTATTTTTGACCCAATCAAAACTCGATTTCTATTCTGGGTCTCTCATATTTTCAAATTCATACGGTATTCATTTCCGACCATGGAAGTCTGTGATGGGTGTCACCTAAATTATATGGAGCTGATTACGAGTTTTTGGGGAAAAAAAGAAGAAACTGTAGCATTTTTTCGATCGCATGGTGTTCTTTCGACCTCAGTAAAGTGTACTAAGAACAAGACTGTAAATATCGCAAAAACCAACATATGTGGCATTGTCCTAACTCGTCCCTTATCCCAAAGAAAAAGAAGAGATGGCAATAAGGTAAGAAATAGGCGATTCCATTATATGATGAGAGTCAGTTATGTTAGGTTTGGTTTTGGTTTTTCTAGTGTTTTTTTTGGTGTATTTTTTATTCGCTTAGCCATTATTTTATTTTTTTGGAAAACGTCAAACGAAAAAAAAAAAACGGCCAATTTCCGCCGGAAATGAAGGTCATATTCGGTCTAAATACACACAAATACACGATAAAGTTTTTTTTTACTTTCTAACAGTGTGGTGCGCTTATGCAAATTTACCTCAAATTTTACTCAAAATTATATAAAGCTCATTTGAGCACTAATGTGGCCAGGAAATATCCCCGCCAAACGTCCATTTCTCGCAATAGCAGAAATCCTGCTGCTTGCTGGGCCGTCAGGCCAACTGCCAGCAAAACGGGCAACATGTTTGGAGGAAAGTGCCCATAATTACCAGGGTAAAATAAAAATAAAAATTCCATTTGTGGTGTGGAATGGAAATCACAGACTTTTAATCACCACCTCGCTCTATGCAATGATGCCAAGTCTCCACCTACCCTCAGATCCGTATAGAGTTCAACCAACTGGGCGCCATGTTGTTACTCAGCGGGTAGAAAGTTATCGTGCTGTCTCCCACATAGTTTACAAACATGCTTATCCAAATGTAAACATGTATGACAATTTTAAACTTCATGAAGTTCATAATCCTCTACAGTACGAGCGCAAACTTCTTCCTCAGCTCAGCTGAGTAACAACATGGCGCCCACATGTCACCGAGTTGACTGAAATCTAGGCTCTGCCTTCACCTACTTTCCCATACATCACCTCCTTCCCTGATGAATTATTTTTTTTTCACAACTGTACATGAATCATTTTACAGCTTATAAACAAAATGAAAGGATCAAAACAACCTGGCTTTGGAGGACATAAACAGACAGCAAAGGCCCAGCATGATTCCTAGTCCTTGCTAATTTTCCCCCAGAACAACGCCATTCGCTTCCCTTACACAGTCAGGCGTACGTCACTTTATTTACCATCACATAATACTTTACAGGTACTACAGATTTGATGTGTTATCAGTCTCGTTGATATTTTAAACCACATGATCAGTTTACCATCACCACAACAGCCTGTTACAAGATGTTGAGATAATAAACAGAACCGAGGCTACTGGAGCGCATGCACAAAATAAATAAATACAATAACGCCATTGAAATTAACTAAAACCAGAAGAGGTCAGCAACTAAAAAATAGAGAGAAGTAGTAGCCAGAAAGTAATTAATTTTCATAATATAGTAGGTACACTTTAATCTATCATATTGGTTCACACTCAAACACACACTTACCCGACAGTGTGTTTATCCTCGTTATACAAGACCTGGCAACCAATCCATACAAGGCCCAGGTATGATCTTTAACATGGCTTCATCATTCTCAGGGGTGGGGTGTCCATACAGTGATACCACGGAACCTCTATACTGATACCAGGAAGCTTCAATATTATGATACCAGGGAATTTCTACAGAGGTACCTACCTGGAAGACTCAGTGCCACAATACCAGGAAGTTTCAGTACAATGATACCAGGGAACTTCAATACCACGATACCCATGTTTCAATATCCACACTTACGTTCCTAGTCTTGGTCACTATTCGTTCACTTATTAATTCGCTTCTTTTCCTAGCCTCCTGTTGTTGTATATATTCAGGCACAACTAACATCAAATCTGCACTTGGAATCCCATGGTACTTTTCCTTCAAGATCTTTTTCATTTGACATCGTATAATTATATATTTTTGGGCAACTGTTTCAATATTTTGGAATTTATGTTTTACCACAGTGTCACTTAACCATGATGGAGGGGGGGGGGGGGGGTGGAGTAAAGTATGTACTCTGGGCTATAGTTGTGGTGATAATGAGTACTGTGTGGTATGTGGAAACTAGAACCTACGTTGAGGGGGGAGGTATACAGTATATGGCTTCTCTTCCTTATATAGTCCTGTTATTGCATTATACCAATGACGGTGTCTGGGTAGAGGAAGGGGTTGGTGGGAAGGGAGGGCCTGTAAGCCCTCTCCCTAGTCCCTCCTCACCTGATTATCCCTTTCACCTCCTCCTCCTCCTCCACTAGACTACCCTGCTCCTCACCATTAGCTACCCCCCCTCCTCCTCCTACACTAAACTACCTCTAGACCCCTCCTTCTCCACTATTAACTACCCCTCCTCCTACACTAGACTACCTCCTCCTCTTACTAGACACCCCTCCTCCTACACTGAACTACTTCCTCCTCCTACACTAGACTACCTCCTCCTCTTACACTAGCTACCCCTCCTCCTACTACCTCCTCCTCCTCACCACTACCTCCTCCTCCCTACACTAACTACCTCCCTCCTACTAGCTACCCCTCCTCCTCCTACTACACTTAGACCTACCCCTCCTCCTACACTAGACTACCTCCTCCTCCCACCTAGACTACCCCCTCCCTACCTAGACTACCCCTCCTCCTACAAACTAGCCCCTCCTCCTACACTAGACTACCTCCTCCTCTTACACTAGACTACCTCCTCCTACACCAGACTACCTCCTCCTCTACACTGACTACCTCCCTCCTCCCCACTAGTAGACTACTCCTCCTCCTCCTACACTAGACTCCTCCTCCTCCACACTAGACTACACCCTCCTCCTCCTACACTAGACTACACCTCCTCCTCTAGACTACCTCCTCCTCTTACACTAGACTACCTCCTCCTCTTACACTAGACTACCTCCTCCCCCTACACTAGACTACACCCCTCCTCCTCCTACACTAGACTACCTCCTCCTCCCACACCAGACTACCTCCTCCTACACTAGACTACACCTCCTCTTACACTAGACTACCTCCTCCTCCCACACACTAGACTACCTCCTCCCTACACCAGACTACACCCTCCCTCCCACACTAGACTTACCTCCCTCCTCCTCCTACACTAGGCTCCTCCTCCTCCTCCCTACACCAGACTACCTCCTCCTCTACACTAGACTACCCCCTCCCCTCCCTACAGTACCCTCCTCACACTACCCCCTCCTCTTACACTAGACACCCCCTCCTCGTACACTAGACTACCTCCTGGCTACACAGACTACTCCTCCTCCCACACTAGACTACCTCCTCCTCCTACACTAGACTACCCCCTCCTCC